ATGACGGCGTTCGCAATCTCCAGAAATCTCCGAAACCACGTTCTCTCGTTGTCCACGGATGAAGGATGATGTCCCAAGAGGAGGTTGCCTTGATCTTCCCGTGATGCTCGCAGCTCGTAGTGTGTGCGTTAGTCGAGGCTCATAATCTGTCAGCGTAGTTTCGCTGTGCACTAGCAACAGCGATGCTGCAGATGCCAGGAGGCTGTGTAGCCTACCTCAGAGGTTCACACTTTGTGCGGCTCCAACCGCAAGAGACTTGGAATGGAAATATGAAGATGTTTCCATTTATTGCTGACTCCCGAGTCAGATTGATAGTGCTGGTACCGAAGAGGAGTGAGAGGGGTGGCGAGCTTAGGGCTCCATCACTCTCCTCGAATACCGGACAAGTAAACCAATCACACGAAAGGTCTAGAATGCTTCCAGAATGCTTCTGGAGGCCCTCCTACGTTCTAGAAGAGTATCAAGTGCAACCTAGGTCTAGAACGCTTCCAGAAGATTCCAGAAGGTTCCAGAAGGTTCCAGAAGGTTTCCAGAAGCTACACACGTTTTACGTAGATGTCCCGGTCGGCCTTGGCCTACAATGCTTCCGGAATATTTCTAGAACAAGAGAATGCATGCCACGGAGAGATAGATTCTTTCCTACTGCTACGCAGACTAGTTGCTGCAATCTTATTCAAAGGTCAATCCGTCTCCGACTACTGGTGGTCTCGACGCACGATTTTTCCTGACACCGGGAAGGGGGCGAAAATAGTTTTTTTTTCGTGGTACATTTTTGTAGAGGCTTTATTGGCTTCTCCCTCTCCATTGCGTGTGCTTGCGTATGCTGGTGCGTACGGCACGCACAAGTGCACAAGGACCTTGTTACCACAGGTAGATGTTTGATAGGTTTGAGATAGTTAGTGGTGGGTACATTCGGCGCCGGGAGATTGTTCCTTCGTAAAAATAGCTGTGGGGGCTACTAACTTCAAGTACAGTGCTTGGGGACACCCCCCCCCTCAAGCTAGAAGCAACTTAGAACTTCTCAATGTTTCTGCGGCAAGTCCGCGACATTTGACCTTGGGTGAATGTGGCGAAATAACACACGGCACACCAGAACCAAGGTGCGTATTCATACCATGCGTCAAAACGTCATCAATTCAAGCATGCTCAAGCCGGCAACATGCCGAAGATGGGCTGCCGATGAGCCTACGGCGGTGGCATCACCTTCACCACGTGCAACACCCGTCCACAATTGCATTTGCCGTACGGTCAAGTCCCTCTACCTCCTCCCTCAACAAGACTAAACCGCCGTTTTTTCGAGCGCTTTTTCGCCCCCAGCGCCTTCGCCCTCCCTCCTCCCCAACGTCCCCCTTCTCCTCCTCCTCCCCCCTCCCCTCCCCAAGCTCTCTCCCTCTCTCCTCTGCTACGTGTAAAGGATATGCACGCGCGGTGCAATCTGGGAGACCCGTGAAGACGAACGCACTTGTTATTAACTCGTGTGGAACAGCAGTAGCTGTTACCAAGGGAAGGTAGAGGACTGACTAGGATGGGGCCAGGATCAGCTGCTTAAGCAGGGGCTACTAGAACCTGTCCCCTGTTTTTGTCCTTCCGTGGGGATTTGCATCTCCCGCACTTTTCTCTGGGCATTAGCCGGCACTACCGTTTGTACTTTACTACACATTCAAATCCCACGACACTAGCCCACCCTGGAGGTTCTCATACCCAGATACTAAATCTCAGAACTTGACAATTACTTGTCAAACCCCAAATGAGAGTATCGAGGATGCGGAGCTCCAAAATACCATAATTGACCCTCCCACACCCCTCACTCGATGGGTCGTAAGACCATCGTTTGACCTATTGAAAGAAGGTACAGGAAGTAATAAACTGGGGCTAACAGAGAGGAAACCAACGGGAGAGCCGCAACAGGCGAAGACTACAAATACCATAACAGTTCAGAACCCAAAAGAAAGGGGAAAAGAGGACACGAAAGTAACGAACAAAGTAAGCGTCGCCGGAGCGACGGAAAGGGAAAGGTGACAGAAAAATGCCTGTATCGACAAAACGATAAGACACGCCAAATAATCACCACGGTAGCGTGGGAGCGACAACCTAGGTCACGAAACACCTTTAGCCCGCAAACGCTAAGAAGTAGAGGCAAAAGTATACGATAAAGTACAAAAGCATCACAACGTAACAAAAGGCTGGAAACCAAATGTTTCGGAAGCGAAACCAAGAAGAAGAGGGGTCGTGACACTAAACAACAGCTGGCAAAACCTCGGCAGGGAACAGAGAAAGAAAGAAAAGGAGAAAACGAACACAAATAATGCTATTGCAAGAGCAACAGAAGGCAAAAACAACCAAGCATGCCATTTTAATGTGGGCGCGCGACGTCATCAGACAACGAAGCGGTCACAACGTCGCCACGCGACATGTCGATGTTGCGACGAACACCCTTGAATAGGACGCTGCCGCTGTGCACTTGGAGGCACCAGGTTCCGGGGACGGCGGTTTCGACGGTAGAGTAGCGAACATCGGGAAGGGCGAGCTTGACAGGTCCAGGATCGTCCGAGAAGCGGACGACTTAGAAGTCGGACGGCAGAGGTGGTCCAGAAATCTTGCCCAACCACCAGAGTCCATCTTGTGACTTGTACCAGAAGAAGGCGCCCACCGGTAGAGGAGTGTTGGCGAAGCAACGGTCCCATGTTGAACGGGAAACAAGCGAGTAGCCTGGAGGCAAAGCTCGCGTACCTTGAGCACGCGCGCCAATTCCCTGGTAGCGGCTCCAATGCGCATCGCACGATAACGGCGATTTGTTTGGCGATGTTGGTCAGGCGAACCTGCCCAGTACCGGAGAATGTGCGGCTTGGAATGCTGCAGGTCCATCTCAAGCTCCCAAGAAGGGCGCAGAAGGCCCTGCCAGTGTGTCTGATATAAAACAGCTATGGTGCCCCCACGGCCACGGACGGACTGGTGGCCACTAATGCGTTCAACCTTAACCTGAGTTGACACGTCGTCTTCCGTAACATGGTAGGGAGGAGATTTGTTCGCATAAGAGTTCAGGACATACGTAGTAAGACCAGCAGGCCGAAAGCCCGGCAGGTCATCGGTGTCATGCGGGTTGGCGCAAGGCTTGCAACGCACAACCGAAACACGAGGTTTCGAGTCTTGGCCCGGCAGGTCCGAAGGAGGATCCAAGTAAAGCAACTTGGAAGCCAAAGGACGACCGTCAGGGCTGTCAGAACATGGGCCCACAGCCAACATTTTGAAGGGGCCAGTCCAGAGTAGAGATAACTTGGGTTTGAGAACCTTATCATATGTGCCTGAACGAACGCCTTGTCGAATAGTAGATTCGGAGTTATACACCCAAACCCATCCACCAACAGTGTAAGAAGGAAGCTTATGGAAAGCGTCCGATAGGGTGGATTTACGCCGCTCAATCCGCGAAACGGACAGGTTATGCTGTTCACGCACCAAGTCGTAAGAACGACGTTGGCGATCAGCAGCAAGATCGCAATATTCGAGCTGATCACGATGCAAGCTTTGGTGGCCACGAGCGTAAGGATGCTCAAGAACAGTCATCGGTAAACGAGGCAATCGATTCATATGCACCTCATTGGGCGCTCAACCGGTAGCGGCGCCAACGGAATTGTTGTAAGTAAACGCGACGTGTGGGAGATGAATGTCCTAATCTTCTTGTCGTTTGTTGACGACCATAGCCAACATCTGAGCCATAGTGTGGTTGACACGCTCCACACCCCCATTTCCATTGGGATGGTACGAGCTAGTAGCCACTTTGCGGATAGCAAGACGGGCATACACGGCTTGGGACAGTTTAGAGCAAAACTGAGAGCCGTTGTCAGACAAAAAACTCAACGGTCAACCCCACAACGGGATATACCTGTTGACAAGGATGTCAGCTGTGTCTTCGGCGGTGAATTCTGCAGCCGTAACCGCGTACATATCAGCACGGCGGCTGAAACGGTCTGTAAAGAGCAGAATGTATGTGTTGCCACGCGGTGTCAACGGAAGTGGACCAAAACAGTCAACATTCACCGACACACCAGGGCCCGAAGGCAAAGGAAGGGACATGGTAGGCCACCGAGGAGTCTGACGAGATGATTTACGGGCTTGGCATCGCAAACAATGCTGCACCCACCATTTTGTACAAACACTCATGCCAATCCACCAATAGAAACGTTCCAGCATGCCAAGCGTGCGAGCCGCACCGAGGTGACAGGACGCATCAGCGGACTTGCATGATCCACGGACGCATAAGCATGGGAACATAAATCCGAATGGGCTCATCGTTAAGAAGGCAAGCAGCACGTCCGCCAGGACGTGTGGTCGTGGACGACGGGGTCGCTATTTCCTTGCGAACAAGCAAGACCAAACCATCATCGTCAACGTGCAACCGGCCTTTGTTAGACAGGTCACGAGTCTCCGAAAGAGAGGGTCGACGAGCGGACGGAACACGGTCCAAGAAATCCGAAGGGAGGACCGAAGGCCGACCCAGAAGGATGAAATGAATGGCTGCATCACACACAGGTTCGTTACGTTGCTCGCGAGCCCAATCAACATGCGAGAAACGTTCGACGGACGCCCGGAAAGCTAGATCCGCCGAAGAATGCAAAGCCGCCTCGATAGAAGAGGGGGCTGATTCGCGAGGCGCCGACTGCAATCCATCCGAAGATAGAGTAGCAATGGAAGCCGAAGGCGAATGCGCGCGAGCGGTTGGCACCAAACGCGACAAGGACTCCGAAGAGCCGGGGGCTGCAGAAGGCTGCAAAGCAGGAACAGCCTCAGTTGTGGTAGACGCCGGGGACGGAGTCTCCACTCCATGAGCCAGAGGCGCAGAGGGAGTCGAGGATAAACCACCAGAACCTGTAGTCGAAACCCAACTGGGCAAGGCTGGTGTCATCGACGGCGACGAAGGCGCCGTCGGAGACCGCCGAAACGGTCGAGAGGGAGCGGCAATCCGCGTGGGAGACAAGGAAGGGTCATCGTCAGAAAAACCATGATCAACACGCGGGAGTGGCGTGCCTGCCACAGCTGCCCTGCGACGGCGAGTCTTGGTGGAGATCACTTGGGTGGGGTCGAGGATCTGACGCGGGTTTCCAAGGGCGGCATTCAACCGCAGCGACTGGGAGGCGTGAGAGGAAATCAGCGTTGCCATTTGCGGAACCCTTGCGATACTCGAGAGTGTAATTGTAGGCGGTAAGAAACTCCAGCCAGCCCTGAACGCGAGCATTGTTCTCCCCCGCCTTAGCAAAATGCTCGAGAGGTTTGTGGTCGGTAAAAATGCGAAATTTCGTACCCCACAAGTAGCCGCGAAGGCACTTGATACACCACACGATGCTACCCGCCTCGAGATCGTGGGGAGTCCAGTGGCGTTCTGAGTCCAAAGTAGCCCGACTGATAGAGACTATTGGGCGAATAGAACCATCTGGCTGTTCTTGTTCGAGAGTCCCACCAAACCCATCGTGACTAGCATCGCAGTAAAGATGAAAAGGTCGCGAGCCGTCTGAAACGGCATCCCAATCTGGATAAACCAAAACAGGAGGATTGGCCAACTCAGCAAACAAAACGCGAACCGCTTGCTCCATGGAAGGGGTGAAGATAAACTTCTCCTGCTTCTTGAGTAGAGTAGTCAGAGGTCGAATGCGTTTAGCCATGTTGGGGAGGAACTTTCGGTAGTAGCTGAGACCACCGAGAAGGGAACGCAGTTGCTTGACATCCCTGGGCATAGGCATTTTGGTGAGGGCCGAAACCTTGGCACCGGTAGGCCCAACGCCGTCAGGGGAGATGGTGTGTCTGAGGAAGTCTGCTTCAGTAGCGCCAATAGTAGCTTGCGGAGGCGTGAGTTTCAAGTTGTGCGTACGCAAGCGTTCGAAGAGTGTGCGCATGGTACCAACATGAGTAGGAAGGGTGTCATCAAAGACGATCAAATCATCCAAGTACGATGCAACATCATGGAGGTTTTTGATGACTTCGTTGACAACTTTGCAAAACCGCCCAGGGGCAGCCGAACTGCCTTGAGGCATCTTCAACCACTCGAAAAGCTCGGAAGACGTCACGAATGCCGTCAAAGGGATTGTATCGCGGTGCACAGTGATTTGGTGGAACGAAGATTTCATGTCGAAAAGGGAATAAATTCGCCCTTTCAACAACTTGTCTAAAGTATCATCGACTCGAGGAATCGGAAGCTGACCCAAAGCACAAAGCTTGTTGAGCTTGCGATAATTGACTGTGATGCAAACACCACCAGATTTCTTCGGTATGATTACCAAAGGGCTCGAGTAAGGCGAGGTCGAATGTTGGATCAAACCTGCCGCAAGATATTGGTCATGGATCGCCTCAACTTGTTTCGCCACCTGAGGATTAACGCGGTAGGGACGAGACGTGACGGGTGCGCTGCCAGGAGGAACGGTAAGCTTAAAAGGAAAAAGCGAACAAGATCCAAAGTCGGTCGGAGAACTCGAAAACACATCATGGCATTCGCGCAAAACGTTACCAAGCTGAGTAATGACATCGGGGTCCAACCCGGGCCGTGGAGATCAAAAGTAATCTCACGGAGATGGCAGGGNTGGATCGCCTCAACTTGTTTCGCCACCTGAGGATTAACGCGGTAGGGACGAGACGTGACGGGTGCGCTGCCAGGAGGAACGGTAAGCTTAAAAGGAAAAAGCGAACAAGATCCAAAGTCGGTCGGAGAACTCGAAAACACATCATGGCATTCGCGCAAAACGTTACCAAGCTGAGTAATGACATCGGGGTCCAACCCGGGCCGTGGAGATCAAAAGTAATCTCACGGAGATGGCAGGGGAGCTTATCCCAGACTTGGGAGAAATTTTGACGCTGTTGTGGCGTCAACCGCTCGAGAAGAGCAGGCGAAGGCGACGAAGAGGGAGAACTGGCGGAACCAAAGTTCCCTCGGTCGCTTGGCGACGGGATGGGTCGCTCGTGTAAATTATATACAAAGGGGTCAGAGACGGAGTGCGTGGCAGACGTATCAATGCCACCCGCAGAAACAGGACCAGGGACCCAGCTGTCTGAAGCAGCGGTGGATTCTGAAGCCGCAGTTTCAAGACCATCACTCAAACTGTGGCGAGAGACAGCGCCAAGAGGCACGCGAAGAAGGGGAGCCGAAGCTGTACCCAGGACGTCACCGGGTTCGAGAGACGAGATGCCCGCAAGATGGATGCGTTGGCAGCCATTTTGCACAAAATGTTCCTCGGAAGAAAACATANGACAGCGCCAAGAGGCACGCGAAGAAGGGGAGCCGAAGCTGTACCCAGGACGTCACCGGGTTCGAGAGACGAGATGCCCGCAAGATGGATGCGTTGGCAGCCATTTTGCACAAAATGTTCCTCGGAAGAAAACATAGCACATTGGGGAAGAATGCCCACCAAATAGTTACCCACAAGGGCAGGCGAGCCATCATTGCGTACCGAATTGACCTGAATGAGGCTATGCTGTGGGTGAAGTTGAACGGAATGTTTGCCTGTATAGCGAAGTTGGTAACTTCCATCCGTTGCGGACAAATCGTGAGCAAATGCAGTAGCATCACAAGTGTCATGTTGGGCAAAAGTAAGCTCACCAAAGACACGGTCACCAGGACGCTTCGCACGCAAAGTGCAGTAAGAACGGTCACTAAACCGCATCCAACTATCTCTGCCGAGGAGCACGTCATGATGCATGACGCCGTCAGGAACAACGTATGCCCAAACAGCANTGAGCAAATGCAGTAGCATCACAAGTGTCATGTTGGGCAAAAGTAAGCTCACCAAAGACACGGTCACCAGGACGTTTCGCACGCAAAGTGCGGTAAGAACGGTCACTAAACCGCATCCAACTATCTCTGCCGAGGAGCACGTCATGATGCATGTCGCCGTCAGGAACAACGTATGCCCAAACAGCAAGAGAGGAAGTAGGAAGGTTCTTACGGAGAAACTGAACACTCAAACGGACAATGGTCAAAGTTTGAAGCGGTGCAGATTTCCCCAAACCACCCCAACAGCGAGGTTGGGTGTGTTTCTCAGACAACATTGAAGCAACCGAAGCTGCTTTCATGGATTCCCATGCAGAAGCACTAATAAATGACTGCAGAGAACCCGTATCCAAAAGAGCGATACACCCAAACTGCACAGAGGCCGAACCGCTGTGGAGGAGGATTCTGGTGGTGAAAGAGTCGTCATCGATGGTGACAACACCACCAACCAAATCCGGACCTTGCTCTGGGAGCGAGGAGGAGGACGACGGGATGTATTCTGAAGACACGGCCCAAACGGCCTTGTCGTGATCCGACGGGACATTCGGAGCGTATTGCGAAAATGACGCGAACCGGTCGGTCGATGGAGGGCACGAAGCCGTCCGAAGGCGCTGGTGTGTGGAAGGGTTAACTTCATACACCGCAGAATGAAGGGACGACGTCGGAACGTGGTTGGTCGGAGGCAGCAAACGGAAGCTGCACTCGGGAGGCGGGGCACGGTGTCGTAATAGACTGAGTACGTTCTGTAAGGCGGTGCCTAACAGGTTGAGGCCGCGCCATCTAGATGTGCATCCAGCGTCAGGATGATCGGCCTGGAGGCCAATGCCCCAAACACGGTCGTAAGGACTGGCTTCGGCAAGGATTTTGCCACCAGATCCGAGGAGATGATCTGGTAACTCGGAATCTTGACTAATTTTTGCGCAAGAGCCAGTGAGCACAATGTTTTTCGCGTTCTTGTTCCCAAAGAGATTGGTCGAAACCACGGACCTCACGGCCAAACTTTCTGTGTAAGGCCGGGTCTGAAACTCGCATGATGTTCTGCAAAGCACAGCGATCTCCCAAAAGACGGGCTTTTTCTGCAGCGAAAAATTGTTCGGCACACGAGTAAACAACGCCATCGACCGTGAAGGTCGACGGTGTCCATTGGGAAAAAGGGGAGGGCGGCTTCCAAAAGAAAACCATGTCTGGAGTACAATACTCGGTAGACGGGTCGAAAACGGCCGAAGCAACAGAGGCCGGAGGGCCCTGAGTGCTGTTATCGAAGCTGGAGTCGCAGCCGAAGATGCGGAGTCATGATGGATAGTATGCACATCCATGGGGGTGGTCCTTGTAACAGCGGGAACCGACGAAGAATCCACTTGAGTCGGATTGTTCGTAATTGGGCCAGCAACACTGGGCTGGGTGCACCCTAATTCTAAACCTGAAGAAACGCCTCGTAATGTGTAGGGCAACAGGTCACTTTCGCTGGGAACGACTGCCAAAGCCGGGTTAGTTAAAGAACTGAACCGAACAAGGCGCTCCTGGCTATTCCCCCGTGACAAGGTACGCGAGACCGCCGGCTGTTCGGAGGTCACTTCGGGGGCGTCCTCCCGAAGCGGTGATGTCAACACTGTCGACGTCGGTCGCAGCAGCCTAGAAATGGGTGCCGTTGTGCGAGCGTGCGTCGGAAAAGGTGGGGCTTGTAAAGACGACCCACGGTCGAAATGTCTCGTGACGGAATCTGAGGATGTCCGGTGGTCGGAACCAGGGGGACAAGGCGATTCGAAGCCAGACGACTTTGACCCTAAAACTTGCCGGTCGGAACCAGTCAAGTTAGCTATCGGTGCAACAGTCGAAGGCGGACCTTCAACGGAAGCGAGCATAGACGAATTGAGCGTATCCGAAGAAGCACCTGAGGCAATCAATTCGGGCAATTCTTCATCAATCTTCCAAAGGTCATGGCTACTGCCGATCCTATCTGCAGACGACGGGGGGAGCGAACGAGAGGTGCTCGACGAACGAGGAGAAGTATTTGACCCCGAAGGTCCAACGGGTCTGTTCCCACACCTCAAGACAGCACTCACGTCAGACTGATTTGTTTCCGATCAAGCAGCAATCCGACGAGGCGAGGGTGCAGAGGTTGCAGACGATAAGTGCNGTATTTGACCCCGAAGGTCCAACGGGTCTGTTCCCACACCTCAAGACAGCACTCACGTCAGACTGATTTGTTTCCGATCAAGCAGCAATCCGACGAGGCGAGGGTGCAGAGGTTGCAGACGATAAGTGCGATGGCGAAGGTGGGATGTGAGCATTTGGCTGGAGCCCGACCTGATCGACACTTGAAGAAACAGCGTGTACCTGAGTACCGCTGTCATTGGATAGCACCGAAGCGCGAGAGCGCGTAGGGAGAACATGTACCAAAGTATTGTTGTCGTTGCTGAAGACCGGAGCGCTAGAGGCAGCAGAGCGCGTAGGGAGAACATGTACCAAAGTATTGTTGTCGTTGCTTTAGACCGGAGTGCTAGAGGCAACAGAGCGCGAAGGGAGAAATGTACCGAAGTATTGTTGTCGTTGCCTAAGACCGGAGTGCTAGAGGCAACAGAGCGCGAAGGGAGAAATGTACCGAAGTATTGTTGTCGTTGCCTAAGACCGGAGTGCTAGAGGCAACAGAGCGCATAGGGAGAAAATGTACCGAAGTATTGTTGTCGTTGCTTAAGACCGGAGTCCTAAAGGCAACTGAGGGTGATACACGCGCGTCTTATGTTGAGCGAGACGAAGTTCCCAAAGATGCTAGAGGCGGTCCAAGGGAAGGAGGCGAACCACCGTCGGGAAGTCATCCGGTACGTGAACGGCCGCCACTGTGGAAGTTACCAGGCTGGCGTGCGTTGTGGTTGGTCGAAACCATGACACCGGACGAGGGACCAGTTTGAGCATGCGATTGGGGTTGATAGGCGGATAGAGCACCAGGGTGGTGGGTGTTGCCAGACGTCTGATGTGTATGATGATGGTTACCCGCGGAATGTGCCGCGGTTTGACCACCGTGGTGTGATTGTTGGTGGTGATTGTGAGAGAACTACCACCGTCGGAACGCCGAGGCCCAGCGTGGTTTCTACGCTGAGAGGAGGAGGAAGAAGAGTGCCGATGGCGTCTACCCTGACAGTTGTTGCGGTCATCTGAACCCTTACGCCTGAAGGATCGCATGCGACCTTGCCAACGCCTAAAAGCAGCAGAATCGTCATTGGGGTGACCCAACTCGGGATTTAACAACCCACTAGAATTCGTGAAGGGAGAAGCACATTGCTTCATGGAATGGGCATCACCCAAGCAGTTCAGACAGCGGTTTCTGTTTTCGCGGAAGGCTTGCGAACGAGCCTCTTGTGTCAACAAAGGAGTCCATAAAAAAGGATCATCGGTGTTACGAAAATTAGCGGTGAGGGCGTATACATCAGACCAGTCGGCTTGCGAAGCAGGCCACGAGTTGTAGTTGTGCGTGAAAGGATCCGCGACTTGAGGTTGCACGGGCAAAACTACAGGGTTCTGTGCGGAGCCGGATGCCCACTGGCCCGAAGTTGCAGGGGCGCGGTGGTTAGATCGCCGAGGCTGCGGAGAGCCACGCGTCGAAGTCAACGAGAAGCAAGATGAACTACCGATAGCCGGGGTTTCACAAGTCGCCAAAGCCGCGAACGCCTCCCACATTACCGCAATTGACTCAAAGGGAGTGACCGCAGTGGCCAAAGCACCCGGGTACAAAAGCGGAGACAGACTCGGAAATTGCTTGTCGAAGGAGTTTCGCACTATTTCGAGAGCCGTGGATACACTAGGGGCCAAAATACGCTCAGAGCCAGTCACAGACGAAACAAACAAGCGGAACGAAAAGATTATCCGCGAAAGGAGAACCATCTGCTACACCAAATTGTTGCAGCTGCAAAAACGAATCTTGGCGGTCTCCGACGTCAAATCGCTCCGCCAGGTGGCGCAACTGTAGCTGGAAAGGGTCTGTCTGGTCCAGGGGTTCCTCCATCCAAGCTCCGTTTCACTAGCTGAAAGTATTCCGTAATGGCAAGGACGAGATCGGCGGTAGAGGGCTTGTCAGGGGTAATCGCACTCAAGAGTTTTTTTTCGAGGGGACGTTCCCATCCACGCACAAAATCAGTGCCTGTCAAACCTTCACTCTGCTGGTCACACAACAGCAAAATATCGGACAAAGCCGTTCTTGTTGTGCGAATGAGCTGCTGATAGCCGTCTCCCGGCAACAGAGAAGCAGAGAAGGGCATGGTAGCGACGTTCTAAACTTTTTTTGAGTTGAGGGTGATGCACGCTCGTTGTACGGTAGCTACATGAGCATTACGAGCAGCTGCATCAGTCGCATCGATCGATGCTTGACGGGTGTGTGCTGTGTTCGAAGAGAGTGGCAAAGCACGATAATCGGAAACAACAGGGGGTGTGGCGACGGCTACCGAAGCAGCTGTGGGAGCATGGTCCGAGGACGACATACTACGCAATACACCCGGCACTGGTGGTACAAACGCCGAAGGGGAGTTGAGATTCGAAAACCCAGGGGTCTGCATCAGTCTTGGACCTACGGCATGGCGAGCGGTAGAAAGGCTACGGGGTGCAGAGGATCCCAAAGAAACAGGGGCGGCCGAAACCGGGGCTGAGTTCGAAAACTCAACGCGACGTACATGTCCGGAGTCTACAGCATTGAATGCGGCAGAACGGACAGAAGGTGCAAAGGGTTCCGAAGAAACGGGGGAAGCTTAAGGCGGGGGAAGGTCCGAAAACGCAACACGACGCAAACGCCCGGAGTCCGAGGAAACAGGGGGGGCCGAAACCGTACCAACAACTGAACTCGAGGGGGGGGGCGAAGCCTGTGAAAAAACATCATCATGTAATAGAATACGATCACTCAAAGTCGCATCCATAAGGGACGGGACTACTTGTCTGGAAGAAGCACCCATCAGAGCGCCGTGCCTCCGGGTGAGACTCCGGTCTGAACCAGAGCCCGATCCGCCTCCCCTGCCACGAGTCCTGCTGGTGTGGCGCTTGGCCTGCTGCCGTGCCCGGCCATTGCCCGCCAATGAAGANCAGGGGGGGCCGAAACCGTACCAACAACTGAACTCGAGGGGGGGGGCGAAGCCTGTGAAAAAACATCATCATGTAATAGAATACGATCACTCAAAGTCGCATCCATAAGGGACGGGACTACTTGTCTGGAAGAAGCACCCATCAGAGCGCCGTGCCTCCGGGTGAGACTCCGGTCTGAACCAGAGCCCGATCCGCCTCCCCTGCCACGAGTCCTGCTGGTGTGGCGCTTGGCCTGCTGCCGTGCCCGGCCATTGCCCGCCAATGAAGATGGCTCCGTGGGGGGGCGAGACGCTCCCGCGGAACTCCACCCCGAGGCCTCGCCCGAGCTACTCTCTCGCACGATGGGCTGGACCGGCTTGGCCTTGACGCGGCCGGCCTTGGGCTTCTGGAACGCCGAAGATGCCGGAGTCGCCATGGCGCAGCCGGGCCACACCACCGGAGACGTTGCGTTCATGGTGGCCGCCCNTGGGGGGGCGAGACGCTCCCGCGGAACTCCACCCCGAGGCCTCGCCCGAGCTACTCTCTCGCACGATGGGCTGGACCGGCTTGGCCTTGACGCGGCCGGCCTTGGGCTTCTGGAACGCCGAAGATGCCGGAGTCGCCATGGCGCAGCCGGGCCACACCACCGGAGACGTTGCGTTCATGGTGGCCGCCCGCATCGCCACGAGGAGGCAGCTCACCACATCGTGGAGGTCGGGCCGAGACGCGTTGGCAGCATCAGCGGCGTCCTATATGGAGGCAGCCGACGGCAGGGCGGTGGACACGCCAGCCGCCAAGTCCATGACAGCCTTGCGATCCTCGACCTGGTAGTTGACCTGGGCGTATTTTGCAACGTCAGACAACCTGGCTTGGGTAAACCTGGCATCCCCGGCCTCGAAGGTGACGGAGCGCAAATGTGATGAAGATCGCGTCACAGGGCTGGAGGCGGCAGCGGCGTACGTCCGAGCCGCTGGCGCCGACGGGGAAGGAGCAGCAGCAGGGGCCGGTCCCGGCACGGAGCGCCCCGCCCGGACCCGAAGATCGTTTTCGCGCTGTTGGCCAGCGCGAGCCTGTTCAGCGACCAAGGCATCCTCTTGGCGGCGGTCATCGGCGAGCTGGGCGGCCAGCAGGGCCTCCTC